TTTATTGTTAGAATTAAATTGATTAAAGTTGTTTAAACTAAAGTAACATTTCTCGATGGATCGACAATCCGGACTCAAAAAGTCCACTTTATTACTTGAACGCGACCCGTGCACTTGCATTATATTATTTTCAAGCGAACAGCATCCTCGAATGTTTTACCTTTAAGAATTAACTATGTAGAATGAAGTGTAGTTATGTAATATAATTTGCAAGATATTGCTTTGACAGGTCGTCGTTCAATATCTTGATTGCTCAAAAAGTTGGACCATTTGATCCTCCATCCACCTCTCAAGACTCGCATTGAAACAATACTTACTCCAACTGAATCATCAAAGCACATATTTTCTTATTTCTGGCCTCAAGTGAGTTGCAGATAGAGTTCCAAAAGGCAAAAGGTGAATCCATGATCATTTCATTATATGCCATGTAAGAATTGAAAATTGTACTTGTGTTCCATATTTTGTACTAACGATAATTTTCACGTCTTTTCATTGTTCAATTTTGTTCTGAACTCCACGTTATGCTAGCTTAATTGTTTGCTCATTCCTTGTTACTGCTAAAAAAACAGACATTTCTGAGCACTACGAAAGCGCGGCTCACTATTTTTAAAAGGGGCAGCTCCCACATATTTACGACAATAACAAAATTAAGATTTCATAAACGAAAACCATTAAATATTAAAGTTATTTACAAATTCACAGAGGCAAAGCTAATATATATAGTTCCATGTAATTTACCAGTCTTCTATTTCATCATCACAAGTATCATTATCAAAGCAGTCATCTTCGCCATTGTTCACTGCAGTAGAAACCTGCTGACTCTCACTATCTTTGGTTACTTTATACCCAAGCCAGTTAAGAGCGGGGTTAAATTCCGTGGCTATAACTGAAAACTTGCATAACTTCGAGCTACTATGAATAGAATTCCACTCGCTCACCATTTGACACTGCAACCACATTAGGCAAATAAAGAGAAAATTAATGTGCATAAGAATAAACAAAAGTATTCTCTTTGCACTCGAATCCTAAAGTCCACTAAACGTCACTCTTTGCACCGTAGAAAGAAAACTTATGCATCAGTAAAATGAGAGGCTAATTTTTGCGGGCAGGGGGTTAAAATTTGAAGGGTTGATGGAAGAGTTTCAACATTTTAAGATTTTCTTGCTGCACTTCATAAAATGCTGGTTTAGAACATTTCACATGGAAAAATAAATGACTGCACTGAAGAAGAACCCAGTAATCGTAAAAAACACAACAAAATGGTAAGAATGAGCATTAACCACCCCAAACCCACCCTATCACACACACACAAAACTGTTTAGCGTGCATTAAACTCACTCTTCTCCGAAGTTGCACTGCAACTAAACATTATGTTTTTCACAATTCAAAGATTCTTAGGATGTAAATGGCAAAATACACTTGGTAGAAACAAAAGATACTTTAATATAGAACACCAAATATTTAAAAACATTTTTCTTCAAAATAACCAAAGACAGATTTTAAGAATAGAGATGACCAACTAAAAAAAGAGTTCCTTGCTAACCAACCTTATTATGTCGTAGTGATTGCTCAGCCTGCCAGAGCTTTGGTTTGCGAATAGCATGCCATCTACACTACCAGCAACACAACAGTTTTTACAGTGACTCAACTTTAACAAAGAAAATCATTGGTATCGAAACTATACCTGGAAGTCACTGCATGAGCATTTCCAAATAGCACCCCTCGCACAGCAATTGAAGCAGCAGCAGACTGTATAATATTCTCAGCTTCAAAGTTTCGAGTTAGAGTCCCACCAAGAGTGCCAAGAAGAAAGTCAGCATCACTTAAATATGATGAGACAGACCATGCATCATCAATTGCGTCCTCATTCACAAAATCTAGAACTGCAAGCATCATATGAATAATATTAGTCTTGATAATCTACAAAAGTCACCAATAATGTGGTTCTGCTTCACACAAACTCAATAACAGAATTTTAAGTTCTTTTTTCATCCAATAGCAAAGTTAACATTCTAGCTTGGATAATCAAGTTTAACAAGTAACCAAATCACAAAATCGTAGAAAATAATGCTTACCTGAATATTGTCTGTTGCAATGAAACTTGAATAGAACAAAGCTTATAGCCAAATCAATATGATTTCAGATATTTATCTTCTTACATATTTAAAAACGTATAAAAGAAAGTACAAACTAAACAATAATCACAAGAGATAAACAGAGCAAACTGTTACCATTTTCATGCAGAAAATCAGCAATGGCCCTTGTTTGCCCGTGTGCTTGACAAAGCACAATTTCCGGAGCATCCATTTTAAAGGGTAACCTGACAAATTTGTCCTTCAAAAGAATTGCATTTCTATCTACAAAAAGAACACGGTGAGCTCAAAAATAAAATACAAATCTTTGATGTACTTTCCTCCTGTTCAACGTCAATTAAACTTTCAGGAACTGAAAAATTAGTGACGAGATATGGAAGATGAATACAAATCCTTGATGCAATTTTCTTCTGTTCAACATAAATTAAACTTTCGGGAACTGAAAAACTAGTGATGAGATATGGAGGATGATAAATTGTCCTCTAAAGATCAAGCACTGAAACACATCCTAGATCCTGATACTCTACGGCACATTTTCTTAAAGAGAAAGTTACAATAGATATACCAGGCTCAGATAAAATTCCAGACTCCCTTTTGTTGTGCAAAAATTTGCCCAGTGCGTGAAATAGCGACAGTGTTTCATCTCTTCCGAATGGCAAACAAATACCACCATTTAAATGATTATTCTTGTCCATATCTTCTTCTGGATGTGTCACGGAGCTCTTGGAAAAAGATTGAGAATTCACTGGAAATGGTTTCAGACAAAAGTACTGTAAAGATGTTATTGCGCTTCTAATATCCCCTCCACTGGCCTTCGCTATTAGATCAATTTGTTCATCTCCCACTTCAAATTGCTCATATCTGCATATTTTTGAAAGTGTTCTTCTGATGGAGTTTACTGTGATTGGATTAAAAGTCACCTGAAAGGTCCATAAAATTTTACATGGCCATCAGAAAACAACAGGCCAACACTTTCAGTTAAGAAGGTTAAGAGAGGCAACCTTACAAGCCCCAGCATTAAGTAAAGATAACTGGAGTTCTTCCCAGTAGCGGGTGTTATACTCTGCAGAGTCGGATTTGCCGTAGTCATTGATCAATAAGGCTGTTGGAAGATGAACTGATCGCAAAAGTAGATGCAAGCACCTATGGAGTCTTCCATAAGCAAATTTCCCATTTACCACAGGAAGATCGTCAATCAATAGTATGATTGATGATGGAGATGTTCTCGTCATCGATGACAATCCATACTTTCTTATCCTTTCAACAAAACTTTCAAACTCATCCATCTTTGACGTGTACCGTATCCCTAGTTCACATTTAGCCAAGAATCATGATGCAAACAATTAGGGAAGTGGAACAAACAGAACAAAAATGTAAAAGCATTACAATAATAATAAGATGTTACATGAATGGAGGACGTGGATTATGATTCTTACAAGAGAAGGAGATATTCAAGATCGTACAAATTACAAAAGGTGTAAGCTCAGGAGTCAAAACTGCAAAATTGTGGGAGAGCCAGATTGAGTATATATTAAGTGTGATTCAAAGGTCTTGGAGAACCAGATTGATTTTTTGTTGAAAAGACATACAATCTACTGTGGAGACCCAAAGACCAACTTAGGAGTTAAGTGGAACAGTCTACTAAAAGAATCGAGAATTCCAAAGTGGTTTTATTGATTTAGAAAAAGCATATGATAGGGTGTCCAAATAAAGCCAGAAATAGTACAAGAAATATCAATATTATTAAGGATGTGTAAGATGGAGAAATCAGAAGGGTGGGATGTAGTGGTGATAATATCAATATTATTGAGAACATATACAATGAAGCAAACACGGGTGTGAGATGCAGGGTGGTGGTACTAGAAAATTTTCTATTGCTGTAAGATTGCATCAAAGTTCTATCTTGAGTCCTTATCTTTTAACTTATGGATGGGTTATGACCTTCAAGATGAGATTTACAGATATATGTTTTTCGCTGGTAACACAGTTTTTCATGTGCTCTTTTAGTCAAGAGCAAGAGTTTTCGGTTATTGTGTAATTTGAAATGATTGATAATTTAAATTTAGGCATTGTTTTCTTCGGTCTTCTCATCTAATGAGTAAATAAGGTTTTTCTTCGCTCTTCTAAAGAGCAAACGAGGAAAGAACAAAATAAAATATTCCTCGTCTTTTCTCCAAATTTTCTCTAAATTAACCAGAAGGTACAGAAAATACTTCAAAGATATATGCAATAAAATTTTACAAGATTGAACTATCTCTTCCAATTCAAAATAGCCATTTGAGATTTTGTCAAATATCTGACAGATATATTCAGCTAATATTACACATTTACACAAGTATCATGGTTAAGTTTCACAATGAAACTTGAACATTTCTGAAGTGATGAGCAAAGTAGGAGGTAAAATATTATTGTGCAATATAAGTCAGAAGACAAATTTTCATGCCAGATTTGCACAATTTCTGTGGCTGAAAAATTGGGGGAAATGGGTTTTTATGGAGTTAAAGAAACTCTCAGAAGGGTTAGAAATCACCACTGTCATAACAGAAATATTATAAAAATTAGCTCAACTGAAAAATAAAATGATTACTTTCGCATTCATATAAGACTTCCACTGAAAGAAGGCAAAGACTCTAAATAGGAAATTCTTTACTAGTTAATTGTAAGACTAGTCCTAGAATGTCAAACAATCCTTGAGGCACTGCATTAAATACTAATTCAAGACTCAAAACAACAGATATTTTTTCTATGCCAACCAAGAAATAAACTCAACTCCAAAACATAGCAAAATTAAGACCATGTTTGAGAGAAATTTCGCAGCTTCATTTTTAGAAAATATATCACTGTTGCACAGTAGTCTTTCACTCATTTTCCACAATTTCTGACACATTACACTGCATAATAGAAAATGGTAAGATTCTCTCTCCATCATTTACGTTTTTACCCCCCCATTCTCAACCACTCAAATTAATTACACAAAACTTCTTTCCACTTACCCACTTCCTTCACCATTGTATCAACAGTGTCCAACATCACTCCCTTCCATTTCCGTAGGTTGTCTGCACTCACCATCCTGTTTCTAATATTTAGTCCAATTTGCTCTAACCTTTTAAAATAACCCATGTATCCTACCCAATATATGTGTGTCTCGCTTTTTCTCGCACTAAAGTTTCATTGTTCATAATGGATATTTCTTCCCTAGGCCAAATCGTCGATGACCCTCGATTGCGGTGACGACGGTGACGATCCCCCAACAGGTGAGAAGGGCTCCAAAATTTGTTAGTTCTTTAATTTTAACAGTAAAATTTTCAAGCTATTTTTGCATAAGATGGATGCATATGTATGCTATGTTCACTGCTTCAGATTAGTTCATTTTCCCTAAATTTTTAAGTGGTTATTCATCAACTGCATGAAGTGTTGGAAATTATTGCAACTGGTGAACATTAAAAAAATAACGAATTAAAACTGAAATTTGTCGAGAAATACTTCGGTTTCATTGAAATTGGATTTGTGAATTGGTGTTGAGCAGAAATTTGGTTTTCCATTTGTTTTTCCCAGCTGCGTCACAATAAATGGGAAAATACGCTTATTTTGTAATTTATTGAAAATAGTGTTGTAACCTGTAGAAAGTAGTAAGAGAATTTCTTCTATTTTTTTTGATTCTTCACGTGTTACAATTATATACTATGGTGTAATAGATGAAAATAAGGAAAAACATTCTATCTTAAGAAAGGGAAAAATACTTCCTAATTCTATTCTAATTACAATCTTTCCATATAAAATAATAACTGGA